AGTCCCAGGTACGTAGACTACTTTTGTGGATACCGAAAAGGTAAGCAATGCCCAAGCTGCAGCTCATTTCACCGTGGCCAAGCAATTTGACTGTAAATTCCGGTACAATACCGTCTCTCCACAGTAACCAAGGACGCTGGTTCGCTCAGCGAGGTAAATTAGGGCTGGAGTTTAGAGTAAACCTTGACCATGGATAAATCAAAGAGCTGCAGCTCGGGTGACGGCTCGGTCAAGATTTCTCAATAATCCCACAGAAGAAAAACTTCCAGATATTCACTTTTGTTTGGACATTGTCTCCAAACTCTTTTTTTCGCTAGTTAATGCTACCTGTTGGCTGAATGATCCATTGATGTGTTGCGAAGCGTAGAGATTGACAAAATCGCAGAAGTGATGATACATATTCACAGAAGCGTCCAATTTCATGACGATGGTGGGTCGTTCGAAGATCACATTGCAGTGTTCATAGTCGACAGAAAATTCAGGGGAAGATTCAAAGTGCTGCAACTCATCGGCCCTGAAATATGCTACGGTTTTTGATGCATTTATCTGGTTGTCTAATTTCATACCAACTTCTTAGGTAGCCTTTTTCATTCATATTCTCCTTTAGTACTTCGGGATAAAACTTTTCGCAGTTGCCTCCAACTTCTCCTGGTTGGATTATATCTTCGCGATACCTAAGGGGACATCTATTTGTGCAAAAACTCAAATACTCTTCCCAAAATTGTCTACCGTTTGGAATTTTGAGGTTTCCATGATTTGAAATGAATGAAGATGTTCCGCCCAACACAATGGCGGAGATCCTCCGAACATTGCAACCGGCTTTGTTCCTAAGCAAACGTAATGATATGATGCCAACTCTTATTGTCAGCGAAAAGTGCTTACGATATTTGTCACTTAGCGAAAAAATGAGCAGCAAAATGATATAGGTACCTCCGTAGATGAATGGCAGATGGTATTTGTTGGTTTGAATCCAGCAATGTAACCAAAATCACCTTGCTTGTAGAATTGGTCACTGGAAGTATCAAAATAGACCTTGAGGGGTCTTCCACAAAAAATGTATTCACCGTTTTGATGGCGATTTACATATTGGCCAACCCAGCTCAGCCGAGTATGAGTTCTCATATGCGCAACCGTCTTCATATCCCCAACACCGACCATTAAAAAGGATGCTACTCTAGAAATTCGAACATCGGCAGAAAGTGTTAGAAGCAAAAAGTGTTGTAACGCACATCTAGTTGACAATCGTTGTCTTGGCAGTTCCTCTTCAATTCAGGATTACTCCTAACTGCATACTCAAGCAGATTAGGGGGTAAATTGAGATCTGTCAGCAAACCTGAGATGACGGGCACGGCTAGGATTGAGTAATAAAACATAGCTCCATTAGTGAGAGGAAGGCTGGAACAAAGGCTTTACAAATGACAAAAGCCGATTTGATCAAGTCAGTTGAGTAGAGAGGCTAGACTTTCAATATCAGGTGAAATTTCCAAATTTTTCATATGTTTACGAAAATCGCGGACTTAAGCGAAAGACGCTACCATAAATCATTTTGAGAAAACAAAGACCATTCAGAGGCAATGTAGACAAAGGCAAAATTATGTCTAGCAAATTTGAGTAATAAATAAACTTCTCGCGTGGGTAATGATTGAAAGTTAATTGATTTTAATTGATTTTAAGTTAGCTCAGGGCAGTTCAGTCTGATGATTAACTTCAACTCCGAACTGCCAAGTGAACTACTGGGAAACACAAATTGATTCACTAGGAAATATACGGTATGGGCGAATGTTCGAGCTCGCAATTCGCTGGGGATTAGTTTCATGAGCTACAGCAATGACCTAGCCTTCCTAAAGTTTCCACTTGAAGAACCAAAATACCACAGCCTACAATGATGTAAATTGTACAAAATGTTGATCAGATTCAACGAAACCAAAAGAGGAAAAGGCTAACCACAGTGGGCACTTATGGTTAGTAGCACAATAATTAGCCATGAGAAAAGATTTTCTAAGTTGATGCAAGTAAAGTTCTTCTCAGTGAAACTCGGAAAAATTGCCTACTTGATATCATATTAACAATGAAATAAAAAATTTTGAAAGGATGTCCAGTGGACAGAATTGAAGATTGAGCAGAACCTTATCAATAACTCATATCGGCATTGCGCAACGAACATTTTTATTTTTTTCATCATTTTTACAGTACATGCATACAGCAACTGGGGGGGGGGGGGGGAATGAGATGATGACTATTCACCCTTTGCTTCAACCTGAGCGGGTTGATTGCGCATTCTGTTGCGACGGCTCATCTTTTGTTCAGAAACGGCACCACTTATGCTCATTTGGAAATCCGAATGTACGCCGTATTACAAACAGCAGCTAGAGCTCAATGGTATCTATGCTTTGCGGTAGGTAACGACAATAATTCTAAGCTTTCTAGTTTTCAAACGTGATTACCTATATAGAAAGTTGGAAACGATGGGGTGGAGCCGTAAAAGTTCGCTTTTAGACAGCTGCCAGAAAAGGCTAGTCAAAATTGTAGAAGTCGTAATAAAATCTTTATACGTAACCAAGTGAGCCTTACTCATTTGGAAGCTGACAACGTCCACAGGTAGTATAAGCATACAATCAAGCAGGCTCAATCGAGCACATTAAACATAGGCTGCCTACACAAGTGCGGAAAAGAAGTAGTAGTTTTCGAGCTTTCTAAAGCAATTGAGTTAGAGGTGCATAGAAATATACAGCGAACAGACAGAAAATTCTACTTTAGTCCTATAGGATTGTTCTAGAATGTTTCTTTTTTTTTCAGACAAATATGAAAATTCAAAAACAGGAACCAGTGACTGAGCTAGATCGCACTCAATGCGACAATCCTCCTCCATCCTAGCAGTCATGGCCTCGAGGTTTTCTGCAGCGGAAAGGCAGACCTCAGGCATGTTGATTTCTGCTGAACTTTGGTTTTTACCTTTCGTTGTATGGGTTGACATGATAGAGTAGATTTTGAGTTGTACCAAATTTATTTTTCAGAGCTTCGCATCATCTCTTACTCATAAAATTACTAGAAAATCATTTTTTTCATTATCTTGACAGATGCAAATCAAGACCTCTGATTGTGATATAGAAATTGCCACATCATCTTTTTCATAAAATTACTAGAAAATCATTTTTTTCATTATCTTGACAGATGCAAATCAAGACCTCTGATTGTGATATAGAAATTGCCACATCAGCTTTTTAAGGATAGCTGAGATTTCGAAAACGGGGTATTTATGGTGCAAGAAGGCTCCATCCTACAAACTGCACTCAAACTGAATAAGACAGAGGAACTGCTAAAAATTATAAACGGACAATAACATCTATAATCCTGAAACTTCGTTCCGGATACGTACTACAAAATGGGAAGAAAAGCGAATTCGTACAAGGCTAAAGATTTCCTCGAAGCACAAATTACGGATAAAGTACTTATCTGACAAAGTTTCTTCAAAAAATCCTAGCGATAGTCATAAAAGTTCCAATAAATTCAAGCAAAGTGACCACCTATCGTATGTCACGCTGATAAGGAAATGGCAGGCAGTAAATGAAAACGTAAGCCTCTAGTTTCATTATCGCGACGTAGAGAACTATTGGTGAGAGGACCAAAAGAACTGTACAAATCATATAGCGTTGGCTGCTAACCCCACAACCGAATATGCAAGAAAACATACATGTATAAACTTTTTCTCTTCCTTTTGCTTCCTATTTTAACCAGGCAACCTCTCTTAAAATGAGACCGGAGCGAGGCAATGGAAAAGGTTCGCTAAATACCAAAGGCATACAAGCTGTAGAGACGCGATTTTGATTTCGTTTTGCAGAATCTGCAGGCGCCTTTTTTATGATATTTCATTGAAAATTTGGTACTAGTATTGAAGCGTTATTCCATGAATATTAAACTGATGGATAAATTTGTGACACCTTCTATCTTTAATTCCTAAAATTTTCGGTTGCTCCTTACTTTGGAGACTCGCAACCGGTATAATCAATACTACAAATGCACACACAGTCAACAACTTTGAGACAATCATACAAGTTACTCAAACTTTACTTTTCTTCTATTTTTTTACTTCTTGGAGTGCCTTTCTTCCATAATTATTAAGGATGTGTTTTGAAACCACACCCTCTATCTTATGGCGGCAGCTCTAGTGCATACAGGAGGCAAAGAAAAATCAAAGAATTTAGAACCCTACTAGAATCCAATGATTTGTAAAGATGTGACAGAAATTCTCCTCCGTCCTGATATTATGAAGTTTTTAGTCTGTTCTCATTTGGTATATCTGAAAGACGGGAGAAAAATATGTCATAAAAAAGTCACCTCTTTACTTCTCAGCGGCTCTACCAACAAATATATTTATATATATATATATATGTGTACTTTGAAAATACATCAACGCATGTAGCTTGGCCAATTCAGTAAGTAGGAATGAAAAACAGTAAAGTCCCTGAACTGGAGCAATCGAGATAAAATACGAAAGTTGCTATAATCTCGTCGAACGATAGAATTCACTCAATCATTCGCGATGCACAAGATGTCCCTGTACAAGGTCGTCCTAACCTTCCCTTGCACAACTGCAAAGTCATGCACATCAAACGAGTTTCATACACACTCAAAAGTTCGATATAGTTTTCACTTAAAATTCAAAATTATAAGTCTTCTTCTAGGCCAGATTGGTATACAACAGAGAGTCGTCAGGAAAGTCGTCTTCATAAGAAACCATAAAAAGTGATATCTAGAATATCCGAAGTTTTAGTACATCTGCGGTGATGACAACAATTGCCCGTAAGATATGGCCAATGAACGCACACTTTGAGTTTTGCGCCTCTAGCCACTTCTTACGCGTAAGCATGTTAATAACACAAAAGCACTATATAGCCTGTCAACTACACTGGTTGAGTGTGTCTCGCGTACCGAAAAGGATAGACCAGGAGACCACCAAGGTGGATGTGTACAAAACAAATTTCAAGTAAACTTTATCAAATCCCAAATTAAGAAAGCTAAATCATCTTTGTGAGCATAACATCTTCCGAATGGCGGGTGTACTTATTATGAGAGAGCTGATACAAGGACAAAGACAAAAATGCTATTGTTACGATATCGAGTGATAACTGCAACAACATGTGTAATTACAGTGTGATGGTCAGACTCTGCAAGTACAGCCAGTCAAGTACATGGGACAAAGACGAGGTACGATGAAAGCCAATGAGAACGAGGCAATTGAAATTCAACAGTGGCTACCTTGTTCGAGCACAACACGGCTTTTGATATCCAGAAGAGGTGAAGATATTACAGATGAGTTGCAGAGTTCTGACATAGACATGATACGAAATGGTGGGAAAGGCTAGTTTTGAACTAATGTTGGAGGTGCAACTACTCAGGAGGCAATAACAAGAAAGGCTATTTCCCTGAGAACATCCCATCAGAACAATCATATATTTGCCACAGCAAAGCGAAGCAGGCTAGATGAAAGTCTCTCACCCAGAGCAGCTAGCGATAAACATACAGCAGCTGATAATAAGAGTGAGCGCAATGATAAAAAGCAACCCATTTGTGGTCCTCACTCGCCTACTGTTTGGTTCCAGATATCGTGCGGCATGGCGTTACTTTGACATGGCATATCAAGCAGATCTTCGGTTTTATTTACAATCACAGCTGAGTAAACTTAAAGCTTCAAGATGAGCAATCAACGCTTAACAGACTGCACGCGTAGCCCTGTGAGGATGCCTTCGAGCCGATCCACTTTCAGCATAAGATCCTTGACAATCCTATTCACACAGTTTGCAAAACCTTTGCCATCTCCTCCAGCAATCGTAAGTGGCGTCATAGCAATCTAAAAGATAGCCAAGGTTAACTCCTATTAGTTTCCTCACGATCTTTTTTCTTTGAAATGAACGCTGAAATTACATGAGTGTTAATCAATAGATGTAACATCAAATTTACGAGTTTATAAAATACGAGAGGGACACCGAACCGCTAGCAGAGAAGTTTGCACTTCATCTCAGCGATTTTCTCGTGATTTCTAACCAGAGATAGGGCAAATTTGAATGTTCGTCTGTGTTTAATGTATGCGAGAAGGTTTTAGGTTTTTTTTTTCAAGTGGAGACCCTTTGACGAAATCACAAACTCTAGGTTCCAGCTTCAAACTCTAAGCAGAGCTTGTCGTTTTGCTCAGTTAGGCACCAGACTTAGCCGATTAACTGCTTCAACAGGACGCGCGTAATCACTGTCATTTGGTGTCATGTTGAAGGAAAATCGAATCGCCGTCCGCAATTTCGCTACATTCAAATCTTCATTGGTAAGCCTTTTCTACCGATTTCCTCAATCTGCGAGGCCTTTTAGCTATCCCCTCAAAACTAATGTTGTTGCGAACATCGCAGACCCCACTTCGATTTCCGTCCAACGTGACGCCAAATGACACTTTTCAGTTGCGCCATGTTCTGCTGAAGCAGCTAGTCGATTATTCTAACGCTTACCTCAGATAGTAGCAACCCAATAAATAAAGCATAAACCAGACTACGACTACGTTCAAATGGCAAAGAAACTACGAGAAAACCTAACAATCACTACCATCAAATGGAAGACAGGAGTAAGATAAACCATAGGAGACTTTAAAGTAAAGTGCACACAGACCTCAGGGTTATCATTTCCATTCGTATCCTTGATCTGCCGTACTGCATAGGGTACTCCGTTGCTTTTCTCGCTTCCTTCCACAGAAGACGCTATAGACAAAGACACATGCCGAGGCGTTTGCTTTTGTTGTTCGGGAGTCGGTTCTTCAGGTGTATCATCGTGACGCTCAGCTCTGAGCGGTCCCACCATAAGCAGAGGTCTTTCAGCGGCTCGCATTTCTTCACTGAAGTGGTAAAGATCAAAATTGCTATGACAAAATTTGCAGGTAAAATAACAGACCGTAATCGGTATACTTCTTCGGTGGTGGTTTGTTTTTCAGCCAGTTCATTCTCTAGTAAAGTGAGCTTTTCAGTCATCTCGTTGATCTAAATAGAACTACAGCATTTCGGGTATCTAGTTTATTTGTAGGCGGTCCTGATCAACCAATTCCTTTGAGCACTTATTCTCTACCAATACATGACTAATGCTCCAAATGATGTTAATGATGTTACCTTCATAACCATCAAACCAGGTCAACAAGTTCAGACTCACAGTAAGTTGCACAGTATATGAGATACAACAAACCTTCTTTTCAAGATCGGTGACCTCTTGCTGGTTGTTCCTTTCATGTCTTTCCAAATCGTCATTCTTTTGTTCTAACTCACGAATTCGTGCTTTGTTTGATTCTTGTTCTCCACGAAGAAGTTTGACCTAGAAATGTCATTATATTTGGCTGATGACACGTGCTGCACAAGCTAGATCAAACAAACACAACAGCAAGTTGAGTCCATCCACTCAAAAATTGATCAAATCGAGGTCTGATAGCGATCAATGGGAGAACTATGAGAAAAAACCGACGTATTAGGTCGTCACATAAATCTTGTTACACTCAGAGGAAAAGGCGTTCATAACTTCTCATCAATTTCTCTAAACTCCAAATTGAGTGGATGGTGGTAAATTTTCAATATATACGTGTCATATGTGAGAAATTAAATTTTTTGAATTTTTCTGAATCATTTTGGCAAATTTCCAAATTGCGTTATTGACAAGCCTAGACTTCCAGTGCCTTCATATTAGTACTAATGTTCAAATCCATAGAAAAAAACCGGGAGCCTGAAAAATAAGAATGAGAGAATTTTTATAAGAAAAAGAGAGAAAATCGAGATTAAAGTGCTGTCACAAGTTGCCTTTATTTTACTGTGATATACATCTTTAAAAGTGGAAATAACGCCAATACATAGTCCTTTGTTCATTGCTCATATGTGCCAAAAATTAGACTTTGCTAAAGTTTCTGAAGTTTTAAGGAAAATGAAAAAAGTATCACAAAAGTTATGTTACGATCTAATACGTAGTGATGGGACGTGAAAATATGGATGCGAAAAATGAGCAAGGCGGATAATTCGCGAGTAAATGTCAATGGTTCCTCCGCGGTGGATGCCTAGAAACTAAGAAATTTTTCGCCGACCATCACAAATGAGACGTAAACAATAATGAATGATCAGCTGAGATCGGGAAACACTATGTGCGCAAGATTAGATTTGCACCAGATAAGAATATTGAAGTCCTTGACTGAAAATAAAGCACATGAAAAAAATTTGTCAGTCTGACAGTTCCAAGGACCCATAAGAATCCAGATGACCATATACTAGCTTTGATCTGTTATGAAGCGTAATAGCCTAACGACACGGCGACTCCGAACAGCACCAAGGCAGAGATAAGGGATCGTTCAGACCGCGCCGGAACCCGCCCAAACTCGCCCGAATACGTCCGAATCCGCCCGAATATTTCCAAACGCCCAAACCCGCCCAAATACGTCCAAACCCGCCTGAACCGCCAAAGCGCAGCAGGTTGCATGCAAATTGGCATATTGGAGCACGCGTGCGATTGATCCTTCTAATATGGGAGTAGTTGCAAAAGAAGATCGGTATGTAACGTCGAGCTACGTGTGACTGAGATAATGCACTACGCGAGCATTATTCCACGCCTGCTCCAATATGCCAATTTGCCGCATATCCGCTGCACTTTGGCAGTTCCAGCGTTCAGGCGGGTTCGGACGGATTCGGACGTATTTGGGCGAGTTTGGGCGGATTTGGACGTATTCGGGCGGGTTTGGACGGATTCTGGCGCGGTCTGAACGATCCCTAAGAATGTTTGCAGAACATATGCCCTTTCCTCTTATTAATTGATTATAGAACTCGACATAAAAAAACTGCAGCAAGAAATCGGCTAGAAAATGAGATAAGATTATTACTGGCCCAGTAAAAAGAAGGCTATTATCTGGGAAACACTGATACATGGACTTTTGGAAGCGTATAATCAAGCAAGCACAGAAAGACATAGCATACCTCACGCCGCAACGCCTCCTCAATTTTCAGAAACTCCCGTTTTTCAGCCTCGTGCCTATCCTGAAACAGTGTGAAAGAATTAAGAAGAACAATATTGGGTCAGAATATCACACCATGTAACTACAAAAGACTCGTCAGAACAATTTCAGGCATAAGTGTATGCAGCCCACCAGAATTATCACTTATCGATGTGAGCATTTACCACTGTACTTTTGGTCACAACTTTTTCCCTTCCGAAGTTTAACTTTTTCTGGGTAATTATTTAGTGTTTGATAAGAAAGTTATTGTTGTGTTTTTGACGAAACCAACGCAATAAATTCTCGACTAATTTTGATAACTCGGTTAAAAATAAACAAGCAAAAGATTATTCAAAGCAAAGATGCATCAACCATCCTTCAATCCCTCCTGTGCAGAATGAAATCCCTTAAAATTGAAACATAAATTGAGATGAAACCCACATGAGCACGTTCTGCTTCCACAGTGAGTTGGTGCAGTTTTGTCGTGGCTGCCTTCGCTTCCTTCTGGGCGTCTTCAATTTCACGTTCCATTATCACCTCCATCTCCTGACTGCTAGTTTTATATTCCTCGAAGTCTCTAGTATCTTTTTCATGTAGACTCTGAAACTCTTGGATATATGCGGTAATGATACTCGAGCAGTCTAGAAAGGTAGACAGTACATAACTTTCTATAGGGTGCTTTCAGTACTTGTACTATAATTTACCTTTAAATAAAGCAACCGCTCTATGAGCTGTTCAGGGGTGAGTTTTTTCAAAGCCTCCACATCTTCCGCTTCCATATCGATAATTGGGTTAAGGCCCTTCGTGGCTGTTCGAATTTATAATCTGTAACTGATGAGGCTGTTAGGACAAATATGAGCATAAAAACTAACAAACAAAGACGAGTTAATGACTAATGCAAAGTTCACTTTAAAAATCGCTAAGATTAATCGAGCTGGCAGGTGCAACCAACAACGTACTTTTGATTAATAGTCTGAGAGTGGTGACAGGCTGAGTGCGATGGACGGTAAGTGGAGTGACTTTCCAGTTCACTAACTCACTACTCTAACTCAGTGGTATGCAAGTTCTTAGCAGTGTACAGCCAACTAGCTACTTGTTTGCACAGTCGTTAAGCAACTTTTGTGACAAAGCTAATTTGAACACTGGTGAAATAATTTCCAAATGTATTTTTGTGGCTACTTGATATCGCACATGTTTGCACTTGCCATATTAAAAACGGTAACACTTATAATTCCAAACTAGACTAGATAGATCGACAGTATTCGAACCAAAAATATATAGATAAATGCCCATATCGGCACGTACAATGGCTAATATTTGAGAATTTCTGACACGCCCTCAACGCGATCTAGAGCAGAACAAATATGTGTGGACACCGGCTTACTTCCAGACAAAAATGCATGCTTTCATCGATTACGTAAGCAAAATCGATTGCAAATGGGATCTAGAAACATTGGCGAATTAGTCATGGGCGAAGCTAAGCTGATTGAGGAGAGCAAATAGAGCAAACAGATGGTTTCGGCCAGACATGAGTATAGCAGAATAAGTTTTGAATTGCTGAGAGACCAGTTAAACTCAAAAAATTGAGCACAATCCCCGCTCATTTGCCAGATATTCAAGAAGTAAAGAATGATTTCGTAACACAGAAAATGTGATAGTCCTTCGTGCAGATCCTACGAATTAGACGGCATGTGTGAATTCGAATTTGGATAAGAAAACCTCCTTCACGAACAGGTGATCAAGCTTTCCAGAGCAGAGACAACATTGATACCAATGAAACACTTCAGAGGATGGAAATATGTTTGAATAATTTGAGCAAAACGCAGGCCGCTTATTTACGATGATTACTAGGCACAAGTCGAATTTAGACTAATCTACCGAAGTTGAACCAGTATGATCATTGCTAGACATTGACGGAAGTGTTGACCACCGATTTTCGAGCTAGACTGATTTCGCCAAAGACAACAAAGGGCAGAACAGCGGAAGTACGTTGCTGAACAAACTGTGAAGAGATGGCCATGGCCGACCGCACGCGGGACGCGCGCTTTGATTTGCGTTGGGGCGTTGGATTGGTCCATGGCAAATTCAAACTCATTTTTTCTTCGTGGCTTACTGAACTGCTTTGTTAAACCTTTTTTTGTTGGGATTGATTGTGGACTGTACAATATAGCTGTCCTCTGTGTTCCTGTTTGTACACCGAATGCATTCTAGACTGACGTTCGGCATGGATCTTTGAACTACGCCAATGGAAGGCTTCAAAATACCTGGAAGCTTCCTAAAACGGAAGGCTGAACAAGAGCATGTTGAAGGAGGCGACACAGCTTCGCAAGGTAAGCGTAGTTGCCCTTTACCAGTTAAGTCTGCCACATTATTCTTGTTTTTTTTTATGTTGTTGATTGTTTATTATCAGTCCTGTTTTACAATTTTATTGTACAGTCTTTGGCGGTTGCAGATTTCTTCACGTTGTCGCAACCTTAAAATTTTGTAGCTTGAGATTGCTAGGCCCCGATCAGACTTGCATGACGTCCATAGAGTCCATAAAGGTCGATTATAAAAATAACAAGTTGTATACACAATTTTCTTATGCATGAAGGCCAGTTTCGAAAACTTCGCTGGTCGGGGCCGGTTCCGCCATTATCAGCTAACAGAGGTGGTCTGAGAAACTTCAAAGTTTTTTTTGCAAGGCTAATTTGAATTATCAAATTTCAAAGATATTTCATTATTTACGATTATTAATCACTTGCACAAATATATAACCATGTATGCTCTCGAAAACTCGCATCCAGTCTGGGGGGGGGAGGAGGGAAGGGCTCGTCCCGCACTGTCAGCCCATCTTTGACGATCGCAAGCATTTTGCTTTCTGTTTTGTTTACACCTTCTTGCCTATTAAATCAGTGTTGTGGACGAAACCGTAACATTACAGGCGCGGCTCCTGTGGTGAGGCGAGCTGAGTTCCCTTCAGGTCGCTTGTTCGCGAATTCAACTCGAGGAGGGCCTACCTCGGTCCAAAACCCTATTCGTGGTGAAGGTGAGTTTTCATGGAAATAGTAAAGTTTTGTGGGCTACGTGATAGTTGTATCCATTTTAAATTTAATGCAACATTTTCATTTTCTATCAGATGGTGCAGAAGGTTATAACAAGCTCAGTGACTTGGTAATCGCTGAGGTGGGGCTGATCATAGTGTCTTGACTGAACCAGTCATGTTCTCCACTTCCTTCGGCGCTTTCTACAGTTGAATTACTTGTGATTTCCTTATGTCCATTATCTATTGTTATTGACTTTCATTCCTTCACAATATTATTCTTTTCGTTCCTTCATTAATATCATTTTTTGCATATTTATATTTTGCGTGTAGATTACCTAGTAATTTGCAGGTGTCCGTTTTGTTTTCAACAAAGCCAAAGATAGACGTTTCGCCAGCGCCTTACAAGATGCTTCATCTGCGGGCACGTGTGAGTCTCTTTTGTCCCATCCTCTGAACGCAAATCCCCTATTTTACAGCTAGCAAAAGCCAGACTTTTACTGGAGGCGATGGCTCGACTGCCAACAGATTCAAACTAGTTCGCAAAATGGAAAGAAGCCCTAAATCAGCTGCTTCCCAGCAACAGTCTGATCAAGAGCAGCCTTCAGCAATTGGATCTCGCGAGGATCGAGTACGAGCAGCTTCTATTTTTCGAAGAAGAAGCTCCAGCACTCTTGCTGCCAGCGCGGCGGCTGTAAAAAGGGCATCGAAACTAGTCCGTGCGAAACGCTCGACTAGTCGCGAGGATTTGGACGACTTGAAAAAACAGGTCAGGTTTCCTTTTATTTGTGGTTTTTGTGAGGAGTGATTCAACGACTAAGCATTTTTACAGGGTGATGGAAAACCACTGAGCGTAGGAGTTGAAAGCGATGATGCAAGGCAGGCCGCGACGATGACGTCACCAAAATTCAGAGCCGTTCCGTTTGCTGCGGGGTCCTTGACTGCGACACGCGAACAAGCTGTCATATTGAGGTGCAGCTGTAATCATGAGTATTTCACCTATGATATACAGTGGAGACTGATTTCAAAAATTGCCTTGATGGTTGCATGCCCTTTATTGTTATTCCATTTTCAGGTCTCTTCTTGCCCTCGTTGGCCGACGTTGTCCCACTGATTATGATAAGTATGTACTGCTGGAAGAGCGGGACAAGTTGCTTGCCAAGTTGAGAGAAGTGGGTTTGAGTGTTGCTCATAGTTAGGGGCAATTCTTGCGAAAATTATATGCGCATAAAAGTTACCGTGGCTGCCGTTCTCATACTCCACTGAAACACATGAAATATTTTGCTATTACTAGACGCTTTATGATCTCGGGATAATTCCGATATGAATTATTTGGACGCTTAATATAGTATCCTTGCTTAAGGAAGAAAACAAGAAAGGAAATGCAGAACGCAGAATGGCGAAGGGAACATGCACCGGAATGTGTCCCGAAAAGGAGAGGTACGGTTCCAAAACTTTCCTGAATCTACAACAATGATGCCTTACTTCAGCATTACCATATGAGCGTTTTTGCCTGAATCCATTCCACTCTCGAAGGTATTCTGTACTTTCAGATATGTTCGTGTCGTACAGAAACGAATCTCTCCTTATGAATGCAATCCGGATGGTTCTCTCAATCCTAACCTTTTAGTCAAGGTACGTATAAAAATTCGAAGTCGGACCTCTTCTTTTTCAATTGTTCCGCCACATTTTTCGATTTTAGGAATATGCAAGAAGTGCAGCTGATCAGGATAAACCTTTACCTCATGAGCTGCGTTCAAGGGAGCTGCTCGAAAATACAATGAGCTATCTTTTTCAACATGTGAGTTTGTTTCACAATGTTTCTATCTGCGTGTTAACCCCTTTCCAATTTTCACATCTCCTCTGTGTACAGGTGCTGGATTGTCCTCCAAAAAATGAAGATGATTTGGCAACATGGTACGATTTTCTCTGGAGTCGCACTAGAGCAATCCGCAAAGAGATAACGCAATTAATGCTCACGGATAAAACAGCAGTTGCATTGATTGAAAGGTTATTGTTTGTATTTGAGATGTAATCGGGTAATGTTCCTTTTAGATGTGCGAGACTGCACATACTTTGCGCTTACAAGCTTTGTCGCCTTAGTTTTGAGAAGTTCGACCAGAATATGAACACGGAGAACCTTGCAAAGTGCCTGCAGTCTCTTCGCCACTTGTACGAAGATTTAGGTTGTGTAAAGCATGCTATCATCCAAATTTCATTCACTATCTCTTGCAGCTGCACAAGGGATAACGCTCGATACGGAGGCAGAATTTCGTAGCTACGATGTAATGCTGCATCTTTATGATAGCAACATACTCAGACAGGTTTGTTGCTTTTGTGCTATTGTATCCATTATAGCTCATTTACCACAATCTTATGCACTTTAGACGCATTCATAATTTTCTCACTTCTATGAGTAATTCTATTTTGTGATAGGTGCTATCGTATCGAAAAGAAGTGCGCGATTCAAGACCAGTCCGCCTTGCTCTCCAGCTCTCCAGTGCTTTGCAGAATAAGAATTATGTCAGGTGAGCAAGATAGCCCGGTCTTCTGTCCAGTCTATTTTATTTCACGCAGTAATCTTTTTAAGATTCTTCCGACTTCTGAAGAGAGATGCCACTTTTTTGCAGTGCTGCATATGTCATCGTTATTTCAATGAGGTCGGTCATTATCGCATCTCTACTTGTCATAGTTTTATCGCCACCTAAATTTTATGCCGAGTGAAACGGTTTTTAAATGAAGCCCCTTATCTGTTCTTTGTCAAGCTGTGCCGCACTGAGCGCATGAATTATTTGGATGTCATTTTCGCTTATTATTTTATCAGGGCGCTTGCTTTTCTCCATGTCGGGAAGTAAAATGTTTACTGTCTGGCTACTCTTCAGCTGAAGTTTGATATCCTGGGTTCAGTATTTATAGAATGACTCAGATTTGGTAACAGCATGACAGGGCGCGCTTTATGTTTTGCAATTGTATGTTGTAAGATCGTTTGCAGGTGCAAGCCAAAGCTTTGCTGACGATGATGACTGCCTATGGAAGGAATTCAGTGTTTCCGTTAGACACTATATGGCGTGTGCTCGCTTTCGATGATCGCGAAGATGCTCTGAAATCTCTCACAGTGTACGGAGTTCAGCAGAATGATATGGATTATGATCAAGTGAGTCAATCTTAGTACTGCTAAATCCCAATTAGCAATAGCTGAGGCGCAATGATATGTGTTCGCCCAGTTTTGTTTTGATTTGATGTTCTCGAAAACGCTTGATCTAGGTCGTACTGAATCGAGATCATTTTCTTCAAGACGCAACGCCAGATATGAAGTCATACCGTTGGATTGATGGTAAAAACACGGCAGAGTGGAGCCAGGTGAGTCGATCATATCCGCATATATGCACACATGCTATGCTTATGTTTTTTTGTATGACACGTCTGGTGTGTAACACAACGTTTTTAATATAGATACATCAATGAATAGCGTTGGTGGCCTACAAAACATTTTGAAGCATCTCTTCTCGCTTTTTGATGTGCCGTTACTCCAAATCCTGTTAATCATTCACAAGCCAATTGATTTGCTACGTTTGCTCGTTCTATCATTTCTATCCTCGCAGGTGGCAAATGGTCCCGTGCCCTTTTCGTTTTCGCCCATCTTCGTCTTACCAGAATCATTTGATCATAACAATGTGTACAATAGAGATGAAGTACTCTCCAGTATATTCGAAAAGTACTCCCTGCAGGTATGTCATCTTTCATGGGTTCAGATCCTTTTTATTGCACATTCAGTCTGAGGCAAGCAAAATGATGCTTATGCAGTCACATTCTGGTCCTGAATCTGAAAGTACACTGAAGGGAGAAACGCAGTTCTGGGTTAGTACCTCAACATATCTCAATGTTGATTCGATAATCGATGGATGTTAAGATTCATACGAAAGTCGAGAACGTGGTGAATGAAGTTGTTGGAGAGCAAAGCCTTTCACTTTGCCGAAGCGCTACAGTTGAAGAGCTTTCAGAGTCCATCTCTAACGACATGGTGGACTACATCATCAGGTGAGTTTGTACTCTTCAAGTTTACTAGAGTCAGACAGTTGGGAATGTATCGTCCATTTATCAAACCAGTTAATTGCTTACTCTCCCACCTCATCGCACTATATTTTTTTTCGAAATCTCATCACGGATGCTCTGAGGGAAGAACGTGAGCTGTACAAGCATGAACAGGCCCGTTTACAATCGATGCGAGAAAAAGAGGAAAAAGGAAGGATAGTGCAATACATTGTAGAACGGATTATCAATGACTGTCGTGACCGTCTGTTGAAGGAAATTATCAAAGATGTGTTGCAGTGAGTTGTGCATGACTAACTGCATTATACCTGTTTGTATCACAACTTTGACTTCAGTGAAGCAACTCTCCAATACGTAGACAGTACGGCACATCTCATGGTGGATGAGCTTTGGCGGACAAAGCTAGTTCATATTGTTGACAAGGAAACTAAAAATGTGCTCAAGAAAACCTTGAAAACCGATATTGAAGAGGTTTGCGTTGTCGGGCTGGAGACTTTAGTGTATAAAGAGTTTTTCAGCTGCAATCGGGTCTTGAACGTTTCCGAGAAAGAATGGAATTGTTATGGCTTCGACAATTTTGGGATGCATGGCGCTCGCGAGTGCTCGAAAATCGACGAAAGCGACTGGAACGACGTCAAAATTGGGAGCATTTCCAAGCAGTATGGAATTGCAAAAGTACTGTCCATTTCTCTGTCCTCTGATTTCAATTTTATTGTCAATGCTGATCGCTTTACAGTGTTTTCACCTATAAACTATGTCCTTCCAAACGTGGAAGCGCGAAAAAAAGCAGAAACTTCACCCTTATCCAGCTGGTATGTGTAGTATGTGTTTGTCGCTTTCTAAGCTTGTATAATATCCTTTTTGTATTACCGTTTATTTTTCCTCCGCGTGTTTACCTACTAGTCGCTCAGGGCTAATGGACAAGACGCTCGCACTGTACTGCGCTTGATTCAGCTGAAGAAAAGACGCTGTGAAAGAATAGTACGGGATGCTTTCTATCGTTGGCGAACTTATGCGGAGCGTAGACGGTTATCTCAAAATCTAACAAAGGTTTGTTATTCTAAGATTGCGTCATTAATTGATGTTATCTTCGGGAAGAACTCTGTTTCAGTTTCGACTTTGGAGTAAAAACTTGCTCTTTCAGATTATGCTGCATAGGCGTAAGACGTTTGATCCAAAAATCTACTTGGACTACTCCTTCTCTCCCAATCGAAAGAGGCGAAGGTTTGACCGAAAGTCTTTGTACAAAAATTTTCCACTATACCTTTTTACAGAGTCGAGGCTTCGTTGAACGACTCATATCGAAGCTTCATGTCAAAAAGTCTTCCGTACTATGACTCCACCATGTATGAACTGTCGGCTGTGCAGGATTCAAAAGACGATTTGAAGGGTCTTGATGGATACGCAGGTACACTATACATTCCACTAAACCTGTCATCTCAACCCGATTCATAGAACACCCATTCGAGTGCTGCAGCGAGTTTCCGTCAACGTCCGACTGGATGGCGTATCGACCTCCTTCTCCATGTGTCGAGCAGTGCATAAAGTCTGACGTTGCAGGTGAGTCTATGTGACTAGATTATTTTTCACCTGTTTTGAATTACCTACTTTTATTTTGGCTTCAAAATAAGATCTTTAGGCTAAATTTATAAATTTTTTGCGGGTTTTGTTGGTATGCTTATTTGATTCGCTCAGCATGTTTGGAATTTTTACACATAATCCACCTGAATTGAGGAAAACACCCCAAAGTAGAAAACAGTCTGGGTTGATATGTGTTGGAATCGGAAAGCAGTATTTTTTGCGCCGTGTGTGTTAGTTGTAGACATTTTTCACATTGTTTCCTTCCTTTTAGGAACGTCGCAAAGCTAATTTAGATGAGTTACGAGGTTATCGATATCGATTTCTCCATATTAGTCACCATACTGATGCAGTTCCTGTTGACGGAAGTATTGCTGCTGTTGATGCTCTGCTCTAGCATTTCCTGTTTCTGCTTTATGGAAGTGAAGTGATCTGTGAAAGTTCTTTATGTTACACTTGACCGAGGTGAACTATGCAAAAAAGTAAACTATACAAGAAATAATCCTTGCTGCGAGATAAATCAAATTAGGTATGAAGTCGACGCCTCCATCATTTCTTTTTCCGATAAATCTCTATGAGGTCTGCTATTAGACTGTAAAGGGTGGTCCAGGCTTCCTTTGTTTCTGCATCAATCCTGCCGCCGTTGGTTTCTTTCACTATGTCGAGTATTGGGTCCAGCATGTGCTGCAACAGAGAATTTTCGCGACTTTGTTTCACAGCTGAGACTGCGTTCAGAGTTGTTCGAGACTGCGCCATATCAGCGCGGTGCCAGCACCCTGCACGAACCGTACCGGCGGTTGTCGTTTCAATAGTATGCACTACTTATGGAGTTCGGCATGCTGGCACAGCCTTGACACGGTGCTGGCACAGCCCCGCACTGCATGCAGCCTGGTAACATAAATTTCCGTAATAGCTTACTATGATATGTTTTCTCTGAACATTCCACTTGATGTGTGCCTTGGCGATTCTATTCATCTGGAGGGCGAGCTCTTCTTCATTTTTCATGGAGTGGATTATGGATCCTAGTCCGCACATGTAAACGGAAGCATGCCGCCTAAACCCATTAAGCTGTTAGCGTGATATGGCGATACCTCAGTTAGAGCGCATGAGCAAGTCTTCTTGCCTGAGTTCCATCGCATTCATTAAAGACGAATCCGGAATTGCTCGAAACTGTGGCCATATCTGCTTGTACGACGGATATTCCGAGAACAGCCTTGAACAAGATTGTAATGAAACTCGAGAATTAGAGTCGTTGAACTCACATCACAAGAACCTTGAGTCCGTTCTTTACAGGATCCTTTTCCATCTCTTTATATGTATCGATGAGCAACTGCCTTTGTTCGTCTACAAGTCTATCAATCTGCTCTCTGGTCAGCTTGGCTGAAAATCTCTATAAAAGCCGCTGTTTTGATCTACAATGCCTATAAATACTCACAGATCTGGTTGCTTTCTCCTTTTATCGACTCCGTTCGCACATTGTGTGTCCTTTTTTGAGAGCTAAGTGGACAAGAAGCCTTTGCCTTCACTTCCGCTTCCATGTTCATCAAAAGTGCCTTCGATCTTTCTGTTGCTGTAGTATCCATTGGTAGAGAGGAGTCTTCATTTGAGCGTGCACCTTTTATGCCAAAAGTCCCGTGGTAGACACGGTACATCTTTGTTTCTGAAATGCCGTCAATGCTCTTTTTGAACAATAAAAAGTTGAAGACAAAGTGCGCCATCTCTGAAATTACGAAGAGGAGAGCACAAGCACAGAAGTCGAGAATGATGCCAACCATGGCATGGGTTCTTACGAAGCGGATTTAGTCCGGATGTTGTCTAACGCTCCCACTTATCGCGTTAATATTCGATCTGTATCTAACACACGTAAACATCTGATCTTCGTTTTACGGAGCGGCATCCGTGACTATAATGCTTCGCATGTATCAGGTTGGACTCAAAGTTTTGTCGCAACATTTTCAGAAAAAATTAGCATCTTGATGTGATTGTTTTGCTTGGCACTGGTTTATTCTCTGACGGCCCCTCGAAAGCGATGAAAGCGGAAGAAACAGATCACTGCGGTTTCAAGCTAGCGCGAAGTAATAAAATTTATGTTATCAAAATATGTTGAATCATCCAGATAATGAAGTGTTTTTGGATTGCCTTGGGCTTGAATGAAGTCGCCAACTAATCTTCTTTCTATTTTTAGCACAGCAACTTTTCTCGTAGAAAGTCATCAGGGACCATGGGAAAGTAATGATTATCCTACTTTACTAAAATTTTAGTCTTTCTGTTTCATCCACCGAGTGCAGCTTGGGTTACCATACGGTAGAGCAAAGCAAGATCTTAAGATGATCACAAGCACCCGCCTGAATCGTATTCCACGTAATATTTATAGCCAAATCATGGTAGTACTCAAAAACGAAATTTAGCTTTAATCAAAGTATTCTTCCGTTACAAAACATCCCACAGATCCTAAATCACCTAAACAAATACCAGATACATCAGGCAATTTATCACACAGTTCCCTATTTTTCCTATTTTAGAAATGAAGGGTGATTGATTTAAAATGGTAAACACGCCCGTAACGGTTTTTTCCTCATACATGTGATTATATTCTCTGTGCATTGAGAAATACGACTCGTGTATCTGTAACGTTGTAGGTGCTCTCACTGTCAAGACTATTGATTTTATTGTTGAATTGGGGTAAAATAGGGGACAGCCTAGTGTTTATACCGAATTATAGCAAAGCAAAACCATTGCGATCGAAAATTGCGATTTTTCGAAAAGGCGCAGCGGGCTGGTCCATGACACACTTCAAATTTTGCTGTAAAAATCGCTCCCCCAACTTTTTTTTATCGCTGAACATAAAGTATATTCATTAACTCTTCTGGTTTAGAGCTAGATGTTAGTGATGTTCCGGAAACTTCGAAGGAAGCAGAGAGCAGCGTATCTGGTAAATCTCTTCGTTTGTCAATACTACTTCCTGCATCATTTAACTCATTGTCAGATACTCGGCATATGGAAGACGACCTTCTGAAAGATGCGTCATCATTACATGCCAAAATGCTGAAATTCAGCGCGGATCTAGAAGGAGTAATTATGCGGCGTATGGAGACCAATGCAGAATGCAGTAGGCTAGCTCAGTAAAGCTCCAAGAACCTGCCCCAATTGCCCTCTTCTGCTTGTTTCGCTGTTATTTGAACGTTTGTACCCATATCAACTCGTCCTGTAAAACGTTTGCTTGTAATCATACTATTGATCTGTCAAATATGAATTGTGATTTTTTAAGTACAATGAATAAAAACCAAAACGAAATATCATGTACAGTGTATTCATTGACAAGAACACTTAGGCCGTATGCGCTTACTCTCCGTTGGGGATGGGAGGGAAGCTGGAAGTGAAGCGTCATATCTCGCTCTCCAAATATTTGCATTTTAATCTGTCCTATGAAGGCTTTCATTTTTGAAGTAAATTACTTGCTATAAAAATGTATAAATGACTTGGTCATACTTGTAATTTTTGAAACTTTCAAATTAGTTTAACCTTATAAAACAAATTTTGTTGCACCCAAAAATTTCACTAAACGCACAAAAAATATTTTCGGAGTGCGTGGTTGACGTCACACACCTTCTTCAGAGAAAAATCCCTTCAGAAACCTGTTTGGACACGTGCACTGAACAAAATTTTTTTAGTCTTACGATTAGTCCTAATTCGAAATAGATTAGATATGGACAGAGCAAATCCCATGGTATGAAATTTCTTCCAAATTCTCCTACTTTTTGTTGCATTTTGGACTTATGTGTCCAAACCCTACTTCCACGATGTGGCTATTGTAAGATTCTGAACTTCTCAGACGATTATGGACTTCTTGAGTACTGAAAGGTGAGATTTTTCTTTGACGAAGAATCAATTTGAAAATTATCGACAACGATGACATCACTGGGAGGCATATAGCGCAAACTTCGCTTCATCCATCTCTAACTCCATTCCGTGGGAGTGTGATTTATTTGCAAAGGGCATTTAGGAAAGGTATATATCGCTAATAGATTAGAAGTTCCAAGATGGTGCTGGAAGCTAGTGGTCACGATCAAGGTAGAGTAGGTATCACTGAAATTATTTACGTGGCGTTTTATCGTCTGTAAACCTTGACTTGGGAATTTGGTGGTAAAAAAAACAGAATTGCACTTATTCTATGCGGTTTTGGTATTTTTCTAACAATAAGCTTGTTCATATGAACGCCAGGCTTGATAGATACATCATATGCATGGACATTATGGATATGGCACTCATTCAAATTGCTTTCATCCTTTTCAATTATTTCTTGCACTTTTTGTGGGTTGAAGGCCTACGACTTCTACAGACCTGTATGATGACTGCTCAAAGATTACCCAGTGGTCTTAATCGACTCCACGGGATGATGTCTGTCTCGAAAAGCTAAAGTGGTTCGGGAACAGATCAACAAGCACACTGAAACATGCCAGTGTGTGTTATTGATGTTACTGTTTTTGTTAAGTTGATGACTTCGTGTTTTTTGGCAATATCGTAGAGCGACCCGTGAATACAGTGGCATAGCTGATCCATGATTAGTGAGAACTTTGCCACTTCTGCTGACAATATTTAGGCAACTAGTATGAGGGCTCAAAACTTGAAAATGTGCGCTCCGTGGCCATTGTGCGCGAATTACCAAATTGGCATTACAAGCGTAGGGACTTGCTCACGCGCAGATGTTGTTGCCAAATGTAGGTACCGTAGGAACACCATAACTAAATAACTATCTAATCTTCTCGATCATAATGGAAGTGGGACCGTGTGCGAACTAGGAGTTTAGGCACCTCCTTCTTCGCTAACGGACCGAGACGCGGTACCAACCCGTTACCTGAACCAAGGCAAATATTCTCGTCGAGCGAAACTGACGTTGTTGAGAGAATTTTCAGAGATGTCAATGTATGAGGAATGCGAGCCATTGGAAATGTACAGATATCTAATCGGGTATCTAAAGATTTCTAAGCGGATGTGGAGAGCACGAAAGGCTTGTGGACTCACTATGAATGCAAAGATGGTGAAGTTCTTGAAAATTTTGCCAGATGGTAAGAGTCGATTCCAAATTTTTAAAAGATTCAAGTTTGAAAGCGAGAGTGAGAGTAACTTTTTTACAACTCAGATTATGGGAAGTGCTTGCGTTGTCCAAAGTAACGGAAAGTGTCAGACCGCCCTAGCTGAAACCCAACTTGTCTGCAATGTTTCTCGAGAGTGTACGTGATATCAAACAAACCTTCCCTCACGTCATGCAAGAGGAATCAGCTTGTCTTAGGTCTTCTGGGATGGAAGTCAAAAAACATATACTGTTTGATTTGTGCTCATTTTGCTTGAGTTAAAAGAAGCAAACAGAGGGCGAATTGTGGATGTAAATGTTATCTCGATAGTATCTATATATTATCCTCATTGTATCAAAAATACCGTATCAAACACGTAAAGAGAAGTATTTGAGACCTCAATTTTACTTTTCTCTACGCATTATGTATGTTGTTCGTCATAATGCATATTCAGATTTTATTTCAAGTGAATTCGAATGTCAAAAATCAAAATCGAGCTTCATAACTGTTCGCAGAGACATCTGATCCGCACTAATACTTCTCAGAAAGGAAGAGTGAGTCGCAAAGTCAGAATCATAACGAAATGTTTGGGTCTGTCGCTGTTTAATTTAAGCAAGCTTAATACGAAAAATAGATACATATATTGAGTAGTTTTCCTCAGCCTGCATGAGGCTATTCTGACATCATTTTTGCTCCGAACACTCTTGAAATGTTAACGATTTTTAGAAAGCATATGGAAAACTATGATTCCTGGAAATTCTGTTGCAAAATGAAGCTATTATTATGGGATCTAATGCTTTTTCGTCCCCTCCCAACGGGAGGAGCATTTCTGCTGTTTCCACCTGCTGCGATATAATCTTTGCTTTCGAGAACGGATAAGCTTTGATTTAGATCTCAGAATTTTATAGACAGAAAATCTTCCCAGGATTTCGGTTCGGAGGGGGGGGGGGCGACAAAAATTTTCTTTCTATGAAGGTGAGTGGCGTCAGCCACGCACTCCGAAATTTTTTTTTGATATGCTCCCTAAAATTTTCGGGGTGTATGTCAAGAGAATTTTTGTTGCCAGATGGACACCAAAAAGCACATAATTAGTGTTTTATAACATTCAAAAGGTACTGAAATTTTAAAAGGAGATATATTTAGGAGTTGCATGGGTTGCTCAATCTGGCTACCTTGAAATCAGTTCGAAAGAGCAATTTTGAAGGTCAAAAACCCATAAAAGTGCAGCTAAGAACAAATTCGTAGATATTAAGTTGTTACATAAGTCTTGTTACACTTCAACTTCTTACGGCGATAAGTCATGCACCTCATACTCTTGACAAGGCTCCAGAACACCATTCGATAGAGCGAAGCAAGCTCTACAAGACACTATGCAAATGTTCGCACCAACTTCGACCCACTATAAGTTTGCGCCCAAAATCTGAGTCGTACTGAAGGCTCAAAAAACGTGAAAAATTTATATCTTCGCTCAAAAAAATTCTACAAATCTCCAGCTTGCTCGTAAAAATTGCACACTATATCAGACACTCATATGTACCGTTGCTGGATGTTTTCCCCATCTAGAAATTGAGAAAACTAAAATTTTCTTGTTTTTACAAAAACGAAGCTATGCTGTTTCTATTCATGTAGCTGTATACTACAAGCCCTTAGAAGTATAATTGTAAATTTTCAGCTTTCTAGAAGCCCTAGTTTTCGAAAATTACCTAATTAAGCATTGAACACCCGAGTGAAAAAAGCTAAATTCGGTATTTTTCGAAAACTAGTGCTTCTGGGAAGCAGAAAATTTACGGTTATACTTTTAAGGGCTTGTAGTATACAGGTACATAAATAGAAACAGCATAGCTTCGTTTTAGTAAAAACAAGAAAATTTTCGTTTTCTCGATTTTTAGATGAGGAAAAAATACAGCAACGGTACATATGAGTGTCTGATATAGCGTGCAATTTTTATGAGCAAGCTGGAGATTTGTAGAACTTTCTTGAGCGAAGATATAAATTTTCGCGTTTTTTGAGGCTTCAGTACGACTCAGTTTGGGCGCAAACTTATAATCGGTCGAAGTTGGTGCGAACTTTTGCACAATGTTTTGTAGAGCTTGCTTTGCTCTATCGAATGGTACCCTGAAGCCTTGCAAAGAATATGAAGAGCATGACTTATCGTCATAAGAAGTAAAGTGTAACAAGACTTATGTAACAACTGTTTTCTAATATTTCGATCCGTTTTTCAGCAAAAGCCATCAAACTCGGCGAGTGATAACCTCATACAGATAGCAATCTAATTCACTTCATGTGATACTTTTTGAAGACTCGCACAGTAAGCTGGAGTTTCAAGTTGGTGACAGCCGGAGAAATCGCGCCTCTTGACCGTCTCCCAAATTTTCGTGGGCTCAAAACCCCGACATTTCAAAAAAGTGGGCGTGGCGTCAGCCACGTCCCCGAAAATTTATTTTATAAGGCCAAAATAAATTTCCCAAAATTTTCAAAATTATTTCAATTATTTACAAGTGCAGACAAGTCATTGCACATTTTACAACCCTTATAAATAACTTCCAAAAATTTCGCGACTCTTTCTCGGGGGGGGGGGGGAGGGGGGCGCCCCCCCCCCCCACTTCCCCTCCCCCCTCGGTACGCCACTGGTGTATACGTGTGTGTGGGATGGAAATTTTTACTTCTAAACCAAGCCGGACCAATTTTTGCTCACATATAGTACTTTGGGACGGGGAGCGTTTCATAGGCTACTTTTCGTTATCAGTCGTTAACAATTTCAAGGTTCTTTGCGAAGTTTAAGCTACGGGGCTGGGAGTTGGCACAGGGAGTGTATGAACATGCTGATTACGAAGCTGAAGATGAAAAAGTAACTGTCCCTGAATGGTCAAACTACCATCCTCCTTGACGAGCAGTTCACGCCACATACACGAGTGCACTCATGACTGGCCTATGTTAGAGCTTACGGGCGTCCTGATTTATTCGTCACGTTTACGTGCAACCCGGCATGGACCAAAGTTGCGGAAGAGCTCTTCCCCGGTGAAACGCCTTCTGACCGCCATGAAATCACGGCGACGGTGTTCAAACAAAAGCCCAAGAAGCTTATGAACGTGCTAAGCAAAAGTCACGTCTGTCTCGACGCTCGCTGTTGGATCTACACCGTGGAGTGGCGGAAATGCGGTCTTCCGCGGCCCGCGTCTTAGTATGGCTGAGGGAGAGATTTTGCCTAGATCAGATCC